CGGAATTTCAGCTCCATCTGTATCTGAAAAAAGCAAAGCATACCGAACAAAGATTTGTTTCGATCGGAAAAGGCTGACGTGACAAAAAAAGTCAAACAAAAAAGTTTACCTGCGCCTTTTTTTACTCATACCCAGTAACTGGACTTAGCATAGTACATTTTTACAGTGGTGGTCTTTAATCCATCAAAATTAAAGCCGGGACGAATAGAACGACAAAAGATTGTACTGCTAAAGCCAAAATAAGATTGACTAATTACAGGAAATTAGAAAAGTTTTGGCGTTGATTCGAAACACAAGCATATGCTGCTCGTTGCGTGCAACGCCTGTTCGTTTAGTACCAAGAAGAGAGACTGAATCAGAGACGGTTTTGTTTACTTACCTCTTTCAACCGTCTGCGGTTGTTCAGCGTCAAGATTTCTGAATTTTCACGTTCTTGGTGCTTTCTCTTCAGCCTCTTTGCCTGTAAATAGTTTCATTAAAAAGGCTTTTAACAGAAGTAACTGGTTCATACCACCGAACTTTAACTCAAAGTAACAAGTAAGTAAGTAGTCAGTTCCCGATTAATGGATAATTTTGGCACGTTTTGGAAGAAGTCAAAGAAACATTTGGAACATACTTTTCTTTGAATTTCCCCTGCTTTTTCCATCGTGTTGGGTATCATCCCTTCGACCAACATCGAAGAAAGAAGCAGTATCAAAATCCAGGTTGCTACGGTTCCCATCTTGCAAACACTACCTCCACCTATGAACTGATACTTTTCCACAGAAATTCTTGTATATATAACGGCTACAATTGGGATCAGAAATATTATACTGGAAAATTCGAGCATTATAATTTTGAGCCTCTTCCCTGAAAACATATCATTACGCCCAAAGTTATGCTCGTGATTTTACATAATTTACCACGTAATAACTCAATCTAAGGGCGTTTAAGAGCCTTCCAACCCCCATTTCCTTTTTTGCCTCCCGTGATGGTGAAACTTAGGTGACAGGTGAAACTTACCGGTGATAAGAGGTTTCCTTCAATTCCACAGGTAGCCCAAGCTCACGTCTCGAGAAAAAGCCAACGATTAATTCATGAAAGCGTCACGCTTTGTGTGACTCGGTGTAAAGTTTATAAGGAATAGTATGAGAAGCGAAGTAGGTCGATTTATAACGATAAATATTTCGAAATACGAACAATTTACACGTAAAATCAATAAAACTTACTCACATCCTGAGTGTTCGTTGTAGTTTCTGGCGATTTCTGCCGTTTTAAGCTTGTTTTACCATCGCTTTTGTTATTGTTAAAAGACGAAGTAACAGGAATAACAGCGATGGTAAAGCAAGCTTAAAACGGCAGAAATTTATCGTTGCAAATCGACCATATTTCGTTCCCCATACTAATCCTTATAAGGTGTTGAAATTTTCAACAGTTCCTCTCGTAACTTAACACCGAGTCACACAACGCGTGACGTTGGCTTTTTCTAGAGACGTGAGCTTGGGCTACCTGTGCCACCTCAAGCAAAACATTTCATTCGACCAAATTCTCAGACTGCGCATATTTACGAATGAAAGGTGTCAGTCTTTTAAAGAAATTGTGGTGCTGCGTCGGTGTTGAATGAAATGATAGCGTGGGGATTAAGAGTGCCGAGAGAAAATTGTGCGTTAATATCTAAAGAACAATCTGGCCAATTTTCACGAAAATCCAACAAATCTACACACCTCATTAATTCATTTAAGTAGAAGTAACTTGCGTAAAAACAAACCTCGAGTTTTTAGCCTCCAGAAAAATTCCCGGTTTTTCATCGTATTCAGTCGTGTGTTATTACGGTCACATTACCAACCAATGATAGGCAACATTGAACTCCCTTGGCAAGTCTCGTGACAAAGAGGTCCATCGCAATTCCAGGGAAGGTCATCTCGTGCCCTCACCAGGAAAAACGAGTGGGTTGAACGAAGTACAAAAAATTCATTGGGAAAGGCAAAATTTTCACTTCATCAAAATCTTCTGCCTTCGATTTCCTTGGCCCGAGCTATCTTTTAGATTCACCATAAAGCAACTTTCCTTTTTCACCGTTTCACGATGACTCTTTCTTCTCAATGTTTTTGGAAATGTGACAGCTTCTTCTCATTTGTGCGGTGCAATACACGATGTAAACGAAACATGCAAATCGAGATCCCGGACGAGAGTCCGCGAAGAACATGAACACTCTGCTGGGGACGAGTATTATTACACTTTTCACTATTCGGTACCAGCCGACCGTAAAACACTCTTTCAGTGCTCTCTCGCATTCTATGGAAGAATTTGTATTCTTTCTTTCAATAAATTACACTTAAATGATTTCTCAACTAGAGACCGAAAAAACCCAAATTTTGAAAATTTTGACCAGATTTTGTTGACAGTAATTTGAAACCAAGTTATCGACACAAATTTACAATTAGCTCTCGTTTGTGCATATGCTGAAAACGACCTTGAAAACTTCATTATAAAAGTACTAGAAATGCAGTTCAACGCGTTTATGCTAAAGAATTTTAGTCAATATTATGCTTAAAATTATGCCGGCATGAACAATTGACATGACATGTAATCGGATGTTTAAGAGCCCTTTTTTGATCCTTATATAATGCAGCCCATCTGAACATACTGAAGAACGTTGATTTTTTTTCTCAGACAGCATTAAAATCATTCCCTTTTACCTTAATGTCTCGACAACCTCTGGAACGTACTAGTATGGCCGGCAGAACGGTATCGCTCTATTTCGTCCTTTTTAAAAATGATACTTGATCACAACACAGAGGGAAAAATTACCAAGTTTTGATTGGCCAAGACAGAGATAATTCTTCTTTAACCCGGTATTTGTCCCAAAATTATTTAACTGTTTATCGTCTTTCTGCTACGTTTTTTTTTTCATTCCACTATCGCGATAATGAAGCCATCGAAAAGATGTCGTCCTGCACGCACGAAAAGCCGCCATGTCAAATGGCTCACTAATTCAGCTTTTAAAACATGGAATGAGCGAGAGGTAACTCTGAGGATAAGGAAAGAAAACGAGTGCATATATGAAAATTGAATGTCTTTCCATGCAAAGGTTTCATAGTATGGTCATAGATAATTCTTATGATAGAGCACTATCAAATGACGATCGTCTACTATTCGTTTTATGAGAACCTTCTTTTAAGAATGTGTAGGCTGCGATTAATTAGCCGAAAATTTTAAGAGCATACTAAGAATATACCTTGGCTGAGATTCAATTAAGAAAGTCTTTATTTTGCTAATTTTTTTGGTTGTTGTTGTTTTTGTCTTTTTTTTTGCGAGAATTATAAATAAATGTAAAAGAAATGTAAAACATGCGGTCTAACAGGACAATTAACTAAAACACAAATTTTAATATTAACAATGCGGTTTTCTAACTGCGCGATACACTGAATAACAACTCAGTTTGTCGTCGATACTATACCAAGCTTCCTAACGGTGAATCCGTGAAAGAAATACAGAGTTCTACTTTTTTTTCGCGGCTCCTTTATCTTCATGTTTACCACGCTCGTCAAAAACCGCCGGCTTAGTAGCTTAACTAAGCCCCTATAGATTGTGCTAGTAAAAGTAGCATATCATATCCTGCCAGCACTGGTCTATTTTTTTCCAAATTATGCTAAAAATTATCTCGTTTTTGAAAACTTGAAAAAGGAAATAAAATCAAAGAATATCTATGCTAAACTCGTGCCTATAGAACTTGATCTAGAGATGACCATGGTTGGGAACTTGCGACTCATGCAATGCTGCTCTTATCTCAAAAGCCACGCTTACGGAAAATCACTGAGAGATCTACATTGATGGTAAACATCCAACTTCGAAAAATAATAAACGCATGCATAGTCTACTAAAACATATTAACAAAAATATCTTAACGTCCTTGAATAAGTTCAGAACTAAAATATGCCAAATTTCTTTCGAACATCAATGACACGCATCTGCATTGTAACGCAATGATCTTTATTAGCAAGATTTTCTTCCGCATCTGATTAGTTTTTAGCCTCGGAGCGAAAATACCTCAGAAAGCATTTGATGTGACCGCTAGTTTTTTCGACTGATTGAAATTAACGTTATGCGGCGGTGAATTCCACAAGTTTTCTTTTGTCAGAGAAGCACAGGACTGTTTTCGTCCGCTTAATTCTGAACGTAAGATAATTGAATTTTATCACAGTTCTTGGTTTACACCGGATCATAAACAATCGAAGCGATTCACAATCAGTTAGGTTTGTGCCTGAACTCGATTAATTTCGATAAAAGTGCACTTGGAAGGTGACTTTTTTTAAAGCAAAGATGCTTACTATAAACTGTAACATAGCCTCTCTATGGTTTTACGCGCGGATACTACTCCAACATGGTTTTGTGTTCAGGACGAATAATTACCCTAGTGCTGAGAGCGGTGACTTAATTTACATCTCCATGTTAGCATATCGTTCCTTTTCAATGCCATTTTGTTACCCGTGAAAGCGGAAACTAAGACTGACGTGATTTTACTTCAGGTGCGCACAGTTCTCCAGAAGACGAACGAACGACTCAGTATTGAAGTAACCCCCTTCCCCAAAGACATAACCAGTCTTGGAGACCAAACAGCTAAAAGTATGGTGATTATGCCAGCAGTGCTATTTTTTATGTCCGTTTTTTCAAATCATGCTAGCACCATCTATAACTGGTAAAAGGAAACGAAAGTATCGAAAAGTCAGTTCTTTGTTGTGAAATTTGCGTGACGAGTCGAAAATGAGATGGCGTTGAGGGACATGAATTTAGCTACCTACACGTATTTACACTTCAGGGACTTGAATCTTTAAATCAACCCCGACTGGTGATGTTTTCCGCGAGTTCACTCGAAAAGAGACCTTGCGTTATCGTCATCACGTTACGTTATTGGTGGCCAAATCTTTGCGTGACGAGTTAGTAGTCTGATCACGTGGAAGGACAAACCAATCAAAACGCGCCCAGTCCTCAGACGACTTATTTAAGGTTTATTTTGTTTCTGTGGGAAAGATAATCAAACAAATTCAACATGCATGGCGTTCTCGGTTGGAAGTGGCCAAAGATGACTATATCTTCATTTTTGAAGATGAAGGAGGGAACTGCGCTGATCTACTGTTTGTACTGCGTAGGATTTTTGGTATGCTTCCTCAGACTTGTTGAAATGAGTATACATCAAACATTGATCAAGAGACCAGAGATTGTTTCCGTCTTTTGTCTAACAGGATTTATTTGCTGTAAGCTGCTTCCTACCTCTATTGACTCACAGAGCCAGAGAGCTTGGGGCATCACCGTCACTTGTCGGAGTTATCGGTGAGTGGATCTGCTAACAAGAACACTGCGAAACATAAATAAATTTGCTCTACCTGGAAACTCGCCAGTTCATTGACTAATTACACCTGTTTATTCGATGTTTTACTTTATCCCACATTACAAAAACCTCAAGTGCTTCCTCTCGATGGGAAGTTAACCTTGTTCATTTTTTTGTATATTCATATATGCTTTTGTTTTTGTTTCTCATAAAATGAGTATTTCACATCATCGTTGTTCTTGTCTGACAAGTTGTCCAGAAAAATATCTCGTGCAAACAAAAGAACAAGTTGAACATAGACAAAAGATTCCTATTCTTTCTATGATTTTTGGTTATGGTTACTGTCTTGAAAGTACAAACTGAAGACTTAGAATTGTGGAAAAAATGTATTTTAAAAAGCTGGTAAGGCTTCAGATTTTTTATATTCACAAGTTTTTGATTTATGTTATATTATGTCACAGGGTCCATATATGGTGGCCTTCAATTCTTTTCCAGTCCTGTCATGGTAAGAGGTCTGGCTATATGCATGCTAGTCACACCACACTGTTTGAGATTTCTTCACATGATAGTTGATTTTGGAGAGGTCTAAATGACCAGTACGTGTAGAAATCTAGAGAATCTAATTGTTTACATAATATATCTACTAGCCATCAACACTAAGCAACAAGAAAGGCTTATGTTTTCATTTTATTTTGTTTTTACAATGTCACACTGGTGGGCTACTCACTTTAATCACCAATTATTACAGAATCCATAGCATGCAGCGTGAAGCCAATGAGATTGCAGAATTTTTTTATATCATCCCTGTGGGGGGCAGGGGGGGTGTAATATGGTTAAGTTTTGCTGAGTATGTGCCTCTAGCCTCTCAGAACCCCTAACTAGTCTGTTTTAGTTTATTCTGTGGCCAATTATAGACTCCACCACAGTCACTTTTCAGTGAATGTAATTTTCATGATTTTAACTTAGTCACATGGGAGTCTAATCCTGAGAATGTCTATCATAAGTAACAGTGACTGATGTTTCAAACGCATCTGAAGTCATCATCACACTCTCCTGTGAAGATGACTTCAGCTACGAGACCAGCTAAGGGATGTATAAATATAAATTCCAACTTACAACTTCTCAGGACTACCCTTGACTGGATGATCAGATTACATAATCAAATGTTACCCCTGAGTTCAAACCTTTTGTGATAGATCACAAGTTGATTTACACTAATATGGAATATATCAAGGTGTGCCCCTATTTTCTCAGTGTGTACAAGTTCAAATATCTAGATTAATTGTAATTAATACCATGTGATACAAAATAAAATGGTAAGCAATGATGATTAAAACAGCAGACTTGATTATGAATAACTTGAATTAGCTCTGAATTATTTTGAAATATTTATCTATTTTTAGGGCAAACTGAGTGATGTATTTGGAAGAAAAAATCTTCTTCTGATTAGCCTCTTTGGTGCGGCTGTAGGTTATATTCTAACAGGAATTCCAACAACATTACTTTTTCTAGCACTCAGCAGAGTTCCAGTAGGTGAGATGCTTTTTTTTTTCTGAATAGTAAGTACCTGAATGAGACCTCCTATCTTGTGTTTGTCAATTTTCACCTAAGCGCATGGAGCTCCTGCAGAGAATAGTTGGTTAAAACCCTTTGACTCCCAGAGGTGATTAACATGAAACTTCTCTTAACAATATCCTCACATTATCCAGCAATTGGGTTATGAGAACATTCAAACTTATCAGGTAGAAGTTGTTATCTTGATCTAACACCAACTTCGTATAACTAGTTTACAAGGAAATGTGTAGCAGCTGGAGGGGAGAATTAGCATCATGATCTTGGGAGACAAGGGTCATAGTATTTTAGTGTATGGTAATATGTGCATGAATTGGGTCTCTTCTGTTTTGCTACCAATTTATTTTAAGATGGAAAGTCATGTATTGTTTCTTTTCAGGGATTTTCAAGCACAGTCAAAGTATTGCAAAGACATATCTTTCAGATGTTTCACCCTCTTTAGATCACCCTAAAGTGTTTGGGAACTTCAATGCATTTTCTAGTCTTGGTTTTGTCATTGGTCCATTGATCGGCGGCCATTTGGCCATGCAGTCAAATGGTTTCTCCAGGGTGACCACTTTAACTGGATTCATTTTCTTGATCAATTTTTTCTTTGTGTGGCTTTTTGTGACACCTGTTGAACAAGTGAAGAAGCAGTCTTTTACAAGGAAAGAACAGGATGCATTCCTTGCTAAAGACAATACAGCAAACAACACAATAGATAACCACACAGAGGAAGAACTGGATAGAAAAGAACTGAGGGATAGAAAAGCACTCAGTGAAAGAGCAGGCTCCTCCACATCCCATGGAACAAGTATATACAAAATTTCTTCAATAGGTTCCTCACTGGATTTGATAGTAATTCGTTTCGTGATGGGATTTTCAATGCTAGTCTTCCGCAGCAACTTCACATCCATGTTAGAGTTTCACTTTAACACCAGTCCAAAAACCAATGGCTATATTATGTCTTACAATGGTCTAGTGGGTGGTTTTTCTGGAATTCTAGTGGGAAAGATAGCAAAATTCTACAATCACAATGATGCAAAGATGCAACTTCATTTCTCACTACTTCTCATGGCATCACTTCTTGGCATAACATTCTCACCCAGTATATTGTTCATTCCAGTCTTCATTACACCACTGGCCATCTCAAGTGCAGTTTGCCGTGTCTGCACGACTAATCTCACTTTCCGTAGGGGCAGTGAGGATGAGAAAGGGGTCATGTTAGGGATAGGGAACTCATTACTGTCATTTGCACGAATGATTTCTCCTGCTTTAGGTGGGTTTGTTCAGGAGGTAAGTGTGTACGGGCCTGGTAGCATTGGTGCTCTTATAGCTGGCATAGGTGTTGTTATCATGATACTTTTCCCACTTGATAGGCCCAGAGTGAACAAAAAGGAGAAAAAAGACCAGTGAGAAATACATTTAACACTATGCTTTTGATTCCATCCATGTTACAAAGAAACCTTTCACAATCTTCTATGTCATTATCAAGTATAAATTAAAGCATATTATTTTTAAAAAGAATGAAACCCTTGCACTGATTATCTGTTGGCAGAGGGTAGACATGAGTTGAGAATGGTTAAGAATGGGAAGGATTAATTTAAGTTTATTGATATCATATAATAATAAATAATTGTTCTTGAACATGAGAAATATAAGCTTCGACTAGAGTTGTGTTAAAATTAATTGTAACCCTTAACTCCCATGAGTGACCAAGAAAGACTTTCTCCTTACAATATCAACACATTATCGTGCAGGTAAGTCATGAGGATAAAGAAAAATGTCAATTTGGTTTTCAAATCTTTATTTCATAAAGTAAAATACATAATGTATTGATAATTATTTCAAAGTTGAAACAACTCTAAATTTATTTCACTGAAAATTTCTCTCAAATTAATTAATATGTAACCCTACAGGCAAAGTTATTGGTTGTTCCTTGAGAGTATTTCCACTGTACATTTGAAAGAATTAATCTCTTAAATTGTATGTTTTTTATAATATTATTTTGTACCCAATCTCTGAGAGGTATTAGCCTCTGTTGGCAAGAGAATTAGTCACTATCAGTGGTAATTATTTTTAATTTCTGTTTAAATGTAGATTTTCTTTTTGAACAATGTTCCATTTTGCTCAGAATGCTTGCAGATAACATACATGTATCAAGTACTTGTCCAGAACACAAACATGTAACATGTAATCCAATCTATTTTCAGTTCAAAGGCAAGCTATGACACTTGAAACCATAGTTATGTACAGCTGTAAATCTTGTATTTCAAATGTGAGAATTTTAGAAAATTCTCTCAACAGTATTTTATATTGGACAAAATATTTAATAACATAGAATTATTTACTAAAGAAAAAAACATCCTGTAAACCAAAATGTTGGATCTAATGTATAATGCATAAATCAACAAATAAAATACATTTAAGAGTTAAATTTCACTTGTAAGTTCTCAGCAACACAGGTTGTTCTCATCTAAGCAATTATATGGGATGTAAACTAAAGAATGTATCAGAGGTATTAAAGGATATTTTGTCATGTAAGAGTGTATATCCTAGAAAAATATTTTAAATTACAATCTACTGCAAGTCTTGTGATGGTGGTCATCTTTGTAGTAGAGAAGGTGGAGAGTGTACTTTCACTTTTTCATCCCATGAGCAGTCAGCAAGCTATAGGATGGGAGAAAAATCAGAGGAAAACCTACATTCATTGATCATGACTGGTATTTTTTTCCATAGTTAAAACTGTTCACAAGGCCATTTTTAACCTTTAACCCCTAAGAGTTCCTGCCATCGAATTTCTCCTTACAGTATCCCCCCTGAAGTAAACATTAAGGTTATGAGAACTGAGGAATGATCACCAACTTATTAAAATAAGTAGCTCTTGATTTGTTACCAAATTCTCCTTGTCAGCACCTTAGGAAATGTATAGAGAACAGTGTGGAGAATATGCATACTAATATTGAAGTGTAAAGGGTTAAAAAAAAACCCTAATTTCAAAGGTAAGCCAAGTTAAACACCTGCCAATCATACAAACTCATATGAAAAGCTCATATGCTTTTGATAATAATCATGATTTTAAAAAAAAAAATGCTCACAGATCATTAATTCTTTAACTCAACCTTGGACTTTGGTAAATTAAGTGATCTACTCATCATTGATCAGTCAAAATATTTCTTTCTGTAAAAATTACCTGTCCAGGAAGATGAAGATTAAAGTCTAATCCCAGAACAAATTCAGTGTGATGTTCTATAGTCTCTAATGGACATGTTCCATTGCTAATATTCCATGTTCGAACTGTAAAGTCATAGGAGCAAGATGCCAATAAGGTGCCGTTGTGGGGAGAGCACTGGTGAGAAATAATGGATGAGATGATAACTTTCTGTAATCAACCCTGACTATAACTGACTTCTTGATGTGAAAACATGTTTAGAATATGTTCGTACACCTGTACATGTAAGTGTGCACATCAGTAAAGCCCACTGATAAGTGAATGGCCTCTTCTTTTACATGTATGTCATTCTATGTGTATCATCTTCACTTAAGCTACTGTTTGTAGCAGTTTTTTTTAAGTGACAATCAGCTCTCTATACACAGGAGGGACTCAGGAGCCCCTCTCTGTCACTTAGCTCCAATTAACAGAGTATTGTCCTTGATTGAAAATAGCTACAGTGTATGAAAATGACAAATAATCAATTTGAAAAGAAATCAGACCATAAAAATCAAGTGTCACCAAAAAAGTTCAGTATTTGGTTCAGAGAAAAATGCAGAACCCTCCATCCCAATATGAAGTTTACCGACTAAAAATAATCAAAACTTAAAAAAAACACTACAAGGCTTTGCATTATTGCTGGGAAAAATTACACACTAGAGAATAAAAACACTGCACAACAGCTGAACACAGGTCACCAACTTGGTCACCTTCCTCAATATTTAGACACTGAAATGTTTTCCCCTCACCATGGTGGCTACACTGGTTAGGGATAGAATCACTGTTTTAAAAAATAAGGGAGTTGCATTAAGGCCAACACTGCCTTTCCCCTCCCAGGAAACTGGTTTTAAAGCGGTTCCTACCTTAACTCGTCTTACTGCATACTGGTGACCTTCAAGAGTAAACACAGGGGCTGTTGTGTTTCTAAGATCCCAACCTCTATTATAAGTTGGAAGAAAATCACACCAAACCAACCATTAGAAATGTAACTGCAGGGTGTACATGTATGTATATCTAGCTTTTACTTATTAATGTTCTACTTACATGTACTAGAAAAAAAATAGCTATGTTTTTGAAACAATATAAATAGACTAACTTTATTAGATGTCTTGTGATTCAAACTATGCTGTTTCCCAGACATATACTGTATATCCAACATGTGCAAAAGATTACTATAGATACCTATATTGCTTATAAATAACATTCTGGTACCTGATTTTTGTATCCACTGATCCTGTTACCACTAAATTCTACATAAGATACAAAAATGTTAGACGATTAAGTGAAATGTTCCTTTCTATATTATTTAGTCTCAATACCAACAGATGTACAACCACAATTAATCATTTTCATATGTTAAATTTGAATAAGGTTACATGACTGTACTTTTTCCCATAATAACTGTGAAAGAAATTCTAGAATACAGCTGTTTATATGTTCTTGAAATGAGGAAAAAGAACACATGCAAAAGAAAGAAAATCCAAACAAGTACATGTACTCAAGTAACAGAGATGTTAGTCATTTCAAAGACAGATGCACCCACCATTTCTTCTTTCATTTGGCTCCAGTGATTGAGAGCATGGAAATTAGGCTAACTTGTCATGCACATATCACCAGAACAACAGTTGCACTAGAAATTATACACACAAACCCTTCCCAATAACCTCACTGCTGCCATGTCTTTGGAATACAGTGTACATTTAAGTTAAGTTCTGCCTTGCCCCTAACAGTTTCCATTCACAATACAGTACACGTGTGTCTGCAGTTTATTTAAGGCATCAATCCAGACCCTTACCACATCATATTTGGCCCAGTCACAAGTGAGGACCTCCCCATCATGAGCCTGTATGGTCTGTTGAGCATGTGGAGGGGCTGATATGTCCCATATCCTGAGGGTGTTGTCTCCTACAATTTCAATAATGACTGACATGTATTATAAATGTAGTGGACATGAATCAAATTTAATGATGATATCAATGGTGGTCTTCTTTTTGTTAATTCTAAAGTGCTTTTCTTGGTGTAATTATGTTGTCGTATACAAACTCTTGCCAACAGAGGTTAAAGTTTCTGTAGACTTTTTTCTACTCTACTTCATCCTATCACTTCTTATTGCCTGTAATTAATTCTAAATTCATGACTCCAGTAACTGCTCTGTAACAATTAATGTAAGCCCTCTTCATTTCAAGAGTGACTTGTTGGTAACTAATTCCTCTTTTTTAACAGACAGACAAATAATGGGAAAAGCAAAAAAACACAATTGAGAGGATATCGTTTGATTTGACCCTTTAACTCCCACAAGTGACCAAGATAGAAGTTCCAATTAGTAAAATATCGGGCAGATAAGTGACGATGATAAAGAAAAATATCAATAAGGGGATTTTTAGTTGATCCAATACCAAATTATCCAAACTAACATCATAAAAACTGTATTGCAGACAGTAAGGAGAATTAACAATGAGATTTTGGCAGTGAAAGGATTAAAACCTCTCTAAATTCTCTGCCTGAATTACCATTATAAGCAATGATTGTGAGGAAGGGGAACCAACAGTGAGATGTTTATGTAACCTGATACAGAAGCAAATGTCCTTGAAACATGTGGAGACCACACTGCACTGTATACTACATGCTGATGATCAGCAAATGTAGCTAGAGATTGAGCTCCATTTGGATCCCACTGAGAAAGATAGATAGAGCATAAAATAAGTATGTTACAATATTCAATATTGTTGTTGTTTTTTTTTAATACCATAATATGGTACACATTTGCATCATAACTGCACTTATTAATCCTACCCGTCATGCTTGTAATTTGACAGTTTAATAGTACATGCACAGTCGATACATCATCTTGTGTTACTGGACAGTACACATCATGTGAATGTGCTGTTATTGTTCTATATTCTTGTGAAAATTTATAACAAATGGCTTCTCTGTTTCTTTTAGTTTTGATTAATTTTGATTAATGTGACAGTTTAAAGTACTGTTGACACATCATCCCTGTGTTACTGGACAGTAAACCAATACTTACCAGTTTTATGCTGTGATCCCAAGATGCACTTAAAAATTGATCAAGTTGTCTATTACAGCTCCAGTCAACACCATACACCTTAAGAAGTATAGATACGAGAACTAAACTTATTTTCTTGTTACACTGTTGTATTAAAACATAAGCAGGAAAAACATGTAGCATCAACCATTATTATATTCAACCCTATGCAAAACAGCTATATTTTCACTGTAATTTGAGTCTGATTATTTTAATCAATGCCTCCCACCTCTGCACTGTGCTCTTTGCAGACCTTTATAGGACCCTAAACAAAACACGATGAATTAATTTTCAACTGCTTTACTCAGCGCATCATCACATTGTACATGTAAAACACAACCCAGTTCTCTTCTCTAAAACACAAGCCAATAACCCTTTACACCCTAAGATCAGTATGCATATTCTCCATACTGTTCTTCATACATTTCCAAAGAGGCTGACGAGGAGAATTTGTTTCACAATCAAGAGCTACTTTGATTGGTGATCATCTCCTCTATTCTTATAACTTTCATGTTTGATTCAGGGGTGGTATTGTAAGGAGAAATTAGATTTTAGTTACTCTTAGGGGATATGGGGCTAAGTCCTAAGCTATCCTAATTGGCTTGCAGGACCAAAGGATGTCTACACCATCAAGCTAACCCAACTTATTTTAATGCACCACAACTCAGTTTTCCAAATGGTCCGTTAGCTTCCAAAATTTACCTTTGGGTTTTTGAGATCCCACATCTGTATTGAACCATCTCCACTTGCAGCAATACTAAAATCCTGATTGTGCTCACTCCATGAACAATCAAAAAGACTCTCTCCCCACTCCCATCTATCAAAAGAAATTGTATTGTCTTTTAGTCCTCTCAAGTTCCTCGTTTCTGAGAGTGGATCTTTTTTCTTGTGTTTTTTTTTTTAATTTGCATCAGACCTAAAGGTTTTTTTTGCTCTATGATCACTACAAATGTCTAAAACTGCTGAAATCATGAAAGAAATAATACAAGATTCTATTGATTACCCAGCAATTTAGTTCTAAGGTTAGGATGTTGACAAAATTGAAAAAAAAAAATCACGTTTAAGCTTTGCCACACCTGCCGATCACTTGAATTCCACTGGGAAGGATGTCCAGTACAAATAGTGTTCCACCACCTCGCATATGATAAAAAGTAATTTTTATAGAAAATCAATGATGAATGAAACATACATGTGCGTAAATTCCTGAAGAGAGATTTTACTTCCAACGTGTAACATTAATACTTCACATTGTTTGGAATGTATCAAAGATTTCATTTACCTGCTATTCCATAATGTTGTGAAGTTGCACAAAGGAATCTATGACCAAAGTAAGGTGAAAACTTAACTGCATATCCATGACGTCCACGAGTGTGAAATGTCACAGCCATGACTGGACAAAAAGAATCTTAAATAGAGATGAAATTACATGGTGTATATTAAACCCTAAATATATTCATTTCAGTGATCGAATAAAACTATTGATGAAAAGTGAGTTTTAAATTCACAGTTGTGTGTGAACTATTATGCCTAATCTAAGGACACCCCATCTAGAGCTAAATACACTGTGTAAGCGTCACGGAACAATTACGCGACATTTGCAATCAGCATATATGATGGATAAAGCGTTAGACATTATTTACCGCGCAAGATGTTTATGTTCTTGATAAGAGGAATATACATGTTTCTATTGAGATAGAAATATATCGAGATCTTGGGAATCTCACATGCATGTATTAACGATGGTATGATTTCTAGGCGAAAAGGAAAAGGAAATGCGAAATATTCCTTTCGTGTATCATGACAGCCGCGAAAATTATAAGTGCTTTTCTTGCATAATTCATCAAATGAATGCCATTTCCGGTGAAGAAATGAACCCTGTCTGGCAAAAAGTGATCTTATTATGATAAAGGTGATCTTATTATAATAAAAATGTCTGTCCGTAGAGGTAAAAATGCGTCATACCTGGCGCGTAACATTGTCCTGATGTACACACTTGATAGCTTCTTCGAGAACTGTCCGAAGACGCCATTCGCCAAATTTACTACATACGCTTATGTTCCTTTGCATGACTCATTTCCTTTATTCTTGACTGGAAACGCTCGATTGCACTCTAAGTAAGACAAACTTCCTCACCCTCCCCCCCAGCCCGGTATTTGAAAACTCTCCATACCGACAACTTATACTATTTAATGATGCATATTCCAGATGGTCGACTGGTAATCGTGGGCGCGCAACGAGTGCAAGTGAGGTCATCGAGGTCGCGGGTTCGAATCACGCTATAGGAGTTATTCTTAATCTGGCTTGGGGGCCGAATAACTTCTCCCCGAGTATGATTTGGAGCTGGCGGACAAGGAGCAACTCTCAAACTGGCTTGGGGGCCGAGTAACTCCTCCCCGTGGAATTTGCTTTTGATTTTGATGTCTTTTCATCATGTTTATCCTTTCTGATTTTTTTCTCTTTTTGTGAGCAGTTATCTTTTAGGGCCATTAACTATTTTTCAGTGATATGGTTTTGGTATGTGTATATTGCTTTTTCCCTCCTCTTCTTCCTTTCTTTTTCTCGAAATTAGATGTAATATACAGATGTAATATATATTTATATATATCTTTTTCTATTTTTATGTTATTTTAATTTTTCTAATTATTTTAACTTCTTACTGGTTGTGGCAATATAGACCGAACGCTGCGAGGTCTGCACAAAAACGACAGTACAGCTCAAGTAGGCGAGTTTAGTAAGTTGTTTTTTTTTTTAAATATTTATGGCATTCGAACCAAAATTATTAATTTATCTCGTAAAAAGCACTTCCCTCACTTGAATTCAAAGGGACATGATGACGCGAGCACCTCAGGAAGACCGAGCAAGAATTCAACAAAGGTTTGTGACGGAATTTGTCGAAAATCACAGCAGCTACTGGTTTCTTCTTTTTCAAATATGCCAAAGAATTTTGTCGATCTTAGAAATAAATATATGTTTCTCGCGTCAGTAATTATGGAGCCAGAAAATGCTGCTGTGGAAATGAATTCAAACCTAAAAAAGTAGCTGTAAAGTCAATCGTCCTCATCACTCTCGATAACAAATGGACGCTTGTTTCTATTATTCTTAAGGATTTTTACATCACCATGAAATATCTGGAAGGTGGATCCAGTGATAGATGTACGTTTGCACCTGCAAAACCTGGAGCGGTGGAAGACAGTAGAGGCCCGTTCATGACTGGCTAATCAATGCATTTCCATTACATTGCTGGTGGCGATTGCTGCAGTCGAGCGAGTGGCTACTTGATATTCTTGATTTTGCACACTTGAAATACTTTCATCTCTGGATTCAGAACAGTCAACTCTGCTGAGGATCATAGACCTTCTCTTTTGGTGTTTATAACTTGCTGATTGCATGTAAGATTGTAAAATCCGGCTCCTTGTAAACTCTTTCTAGGTTGGACCAAAAAGTTTTCCAGAATATCTGCATCCAAGAGCCTTGAAATACAGGTTTTCCTGGCAGAATGATTGGTTACCCTTTTTCCTTCAAGCTGAAGCCCAGCATTCTTCGCTTTTATGGAGAGAGACTTTCTAATCTCATTTTTACGGAGGGGTGCCTTCCTCATTTGAGAGCCGATTATGGCGGACCGCCAAGTAAAACGGTGACTCTGGCGTATTCAGGCATCTCCACTGGCCGATGACTGCAAGATTTCTTGTAGAAATTGCCTGAGTAACTCACCGATGAGGGATATTTATGCAACTTCGGAAAACAAGTGATATTAAGCCTTAATTTTATTCGGCCCCAAATGATTACCTAAACCAACTGAACAAGATGAATGCTGCGTCTGGCAAAAAGTAAACTTATTGTAAAAGAAATGTCTGTGTAATAAATGCGTCCACAGAGGTAAAAATGCGTTATATCTGGCGTGTAACATTGTACCAATGCAAACACTTATTAGCTTCTTTGAGAAGTGTCGGAAGCTTCGTGTTTAGCACGCCCCGGCAAACGATGCCATCCGCCATTACGAAATATGCTAATATTCTACGTTAAGATCGCTTCTGTCAGTTCTATGTATGATTCATTCCCTTTATTCTTGACCGGAAACGCACGATTGCACTCTAAGTAAGACAAACTTCCTCACCCTACCCCCCAGCCCGGTATTTGAAAACTCTCCATACCGACAATTGATATTAATTAATGATGCATATTCCAGATGGTCGACTGGTAATCGTGGGCGCGCAACGAGTGCAAGTGAGGTCATCGAGGTCGCGGGTTCGAATCACGCTATAGGAGTTATTCTTTATCTGGCTTGGGGGCCGAATAACTTCTCCCCGATTATGATTTGGAGCTGGCGGACAAGGAGTAACTCTCAAACTGGCTTGGGGGTCGAGTAACTCCTCCCCTTAGATTTGCATTTTGTTTTTGCTGTCTTTTCAATTTTTCCTCTTTTTATCATCATTTTATGCCCTGTTTTTTTCCTCTTTTTTTCTTAGCAGTTGTATTTTCGAGAACGGTTTTGGTACGTGTCGGTTGCATTTTTCCTTTTTTTCGAAATCAGGTGCAACATCTTTCTCTCTGTTTATCTCATTATTATTATTGTTACCACTTATTAATTTTTTTAATTATCTGATTTCTGCATTTCGGTTGTGGTTAGTTGCAAACCAATGTATTCTAAGGTAGCTTTAAGTTGTCGCCCATAAGTAATTAAGCTTGAACAATAGGAGTTAGTGTCAAAATATTTCCACTGTCTTCTTTTTTTTTCCATTGAATATAGCTGGAGTTTTGAAAAAAAGATCCCCAATTTGAATCAACACCTTTCATCATTTACAACCTTTACGGTCCCTTTTATTAGGGAAATAATCTCACCGATTGATGTAAGCACCAGTCCTGTTGTCAAGGACCAAACAGACCGTGGACTTAATTGTTATCTTCTACATTTAGCTGCAATGCTAAAAGAGAAAACTCCCACTACTCGCCGTGAAATTCGAGAAAAACCCTCGCTAAGTTAACATGTAGATTTAGCTCTGATAGTTAGCATTAATTTTAAAACAGCATCAAACAATCCGAGTGCCTGGAGCTCAGAAAACCTCTTCATCAGTAGTCGCATCGCACAAGGGAGACCACCTGTTTTTTGTAATGACTGCCAAGCGCCATCAAGAGTTTTCGACCAATTTTTCCACTAAAGACTCTAGAAATATCTCTGAAAAAAGTCACAGTATTGCACCCTTTTATTTGTTAAAGCATTTTATAATAATTGAATCAGAGACCAAAGTAAGTTGGCTTTGTGGTAAGGTGTATTTGTTTTTCTTTTTCCTTTTCAAATGCCTTTATGTGAGATTATAATTATTCAATCATTAAATGATATTGAAAAAAGGGTTAAATTGACGGGGAAAATGTAGAAATGATGTTAAGTAGCTAAATTACACTTGTGATGTACTTTTAATAACACAAGCAAACTTAGGGTAAGCAAAAATAGAGGACAATAAATCTTAAATAAATCTTGTGTAGACAACTGTTCCAGTTCTTAAACTCGTCTTTTTGTTGATCAGTATTTTGATGACACTTTACACCTTCTTGTGGTGCATGGGCATTCGGCCTTCTACACGTGATATTTCCTCGTTATGAATTTATTTTCTTTGTTTTGATTTTTACAACTATGGCTTACAGGAATAGTAGGTGAAACGCTAGTGTTAAAAAAGTTTTCTACCTTTTCTTTGTTAGCGTTCTTTCTATTCCGCGTAATGCATTTTTCGTGACTCGTGAAGCTTTTGTCGTCCTGGAGTTTGTATTTGTCACACCAGTTTGTTACGTTGCGAATTTTCTTTATTCACCGTTGTACACAAATCGAACGAGAACCAATACACACGATTGATAACTTCTTTGAGAAGTGCTCGAATCGTCGTGTTTAACGAGCCACAGCGAACGAGGCCGTCCGCCATTACCACATGCTAATATTCGTCGTTGATAGCGCTTCTTTCGGTTCTTTGCATGATTCATTTCCTTTATTCTCGACCGGAAACGCTCGATTGCACCCTCATTTGGAAAAACTTCCTCACCCTCCCCCCCATCCCGGTATTTGAAAACTCTCCATACCGACAATTGATATTAATTAATGATGCATATTCCAGATGGTCGATTGGTAATCGTGGGCGCGCAACGAGTGCAAGTGAGGTCATCGAGGTCGCGGGTTCGAATCACGCTATAGGAGTTATTCTTTATCTGGCTTGGGGGCCGAATAACTTCTCCCCGAGTATGATTTGGAGCTGGCGGACAAGGAGCAACTCTCAAACTGGCTTGGGGGCCGAGTAACTCCTCCCCGTGGAATTCGCATTATTTTATGTCCTGTTTTTTACCTTGTTTTCATTCCTTTATGAGCGGTCATTTTTTTTTGGACTATTGTGATATTTTCGGATACGGTTTTGGTACGTCCCGGTTGCTTTTTTCCCTTTTTATAGAAATTAAGTCTAATATCTTTATCTCTGTTTATTTTATTATTATTATTGAAGCCAGTTATTCTTTTTTTTTCAAAGTTTTACATCTTATTTAAGCATGTTGAGCGACGTTGCATCGTATATTATTCTATGGTCATTTCAAATTGTTGCCACCCATACTTACGTCCCATCTACTTGGGAAAAAATCCCACCAAGCTCTCCGATAAATGTAAGCATCAGCCTCTTGTTGTCAAGGAGCAAACTGACCGTGGACTTAATTAATGTCTTTGGCATTCAGCTGCAATACTTAAAAGAGAAAATTCCTTATACTCGCCGTGAAATTCGAGTTCAGAAAACTTCTTCATGGTAGTCACATCGCTCAAGGGAGAAAACCTGTTTTTGTAATGACTACCAAGCGCTATCAAGAATTTTCGATCGATTTTTCCGTTGAAGACTCCAGAATTATTTCTGAAAAAAGACAGTATTACACCTTTATATTTGTTAAAGTTTTTTATGCTAGTTGAGACCAAAGTAACTTGGCATTGTGGTAAGGTGTATTTGTTTTTCTTGTTCCTTTTAAAAACATCTGTGTGAGATTACAATTATTCAGTCATTAAATGGAATAAAATGGAAAGGGTGTTAAACGAACGGGG